ATTTGAACCAAGCTTTGCCCAGTTCTACAGCTTGTCAGATGCGGTTGTCTCCAAAAAGCTAGAAGGGAACCGGCATCCCAGAGAGATCTCTGCCCTTCTCCCTCCACCAGTTTGCAGGTGGGAGTCGGAGCCTTCTGGGACGTGTGGCCTGTGGAAATGAAAATGCAGGGGAGGGCAGGAATCCGGAGGCTGAGAGTGACTGAAAGACACCGGGTCTGTGCCTCAGAGATGCTCCAAGACCCAACTGCAGGGTGGTCCTCCAGAGACAGCGCCCACGGCTGCCCGGAGCCTCCAGCAGGACAGCGGCATCCGATCACCCCTCCCTCCAGGCCACTGGCTCGTGGCTTCCTCTCCGTGGCTGGACGCCCATGCACAAGAGCAGAGCGTCTGTCTGGGTGCAGGAGATGCCCCGAGTCCTTCAAACTCAGGGGCTTCACCTCACCACCTCTGCATCCTCTGTGATGTCCTGAAACCCCTCAGCTAAGTATGTGAATTGTTCTCAGATTACGCAAGGCTTTAGCCAAACATCCCCGTCTAGAAGAGCATGATATTCCTGCCTTGGGATCAGTAACAGACGACAAGGTGTCTGTTTGGGGGAAGCCGGCACGTGCCTGGACCTACTCCATCGCAGCCCAGCTCCCTGCTGGACCGGACGGTGTCAAGTGTTGCAGGAGCCTCTCTGTGGCTCCAAGAGTTGTGTGACATCTCACAAGGCCCAGTGGGCAGGCCCCAAAGCAAAAATGACAGCCCAACTTCAGCACTACGTAGCCTGCGGATGTGGGAAGCTAACGAAACTCACTTCTGGAGACTGTTGTGTTTGTTTTTTTTTAGTGTCCCAGACCAAGGCAGCAGGCTGGCACCTCCAACCTTTCTGCAGAAATGGCACAGGTCACCCAGAATGCTTAAGGTTTCTGTCATCTAGGGTAGCAGTGTTCGCACTTCAGTTGAAACTTCAAGCAAGTTACACTGCCGGTGCTCATGGTGCAGTTTTCATTTGTTTTTTTAAAAAGACATTTCCAAATGTGTTATTCAAAGATGTTTACGCTGTGCTGTGAAGCAATAATGGCCCCAGAGTCGTGCCACCGAGCTGCAAGCCTGCGTGGCAGAGTGGACGGCCCCTCCCTGTCCTCATCAGACCAACGAGGCTTTCGGCGGTGCCCTTGGCTTGGGCCGCACTCAGGGGAGAGCTGGTAAGTGCAGATTATTTTTAAAGTAATTATTGTAAATGAAGAAAGAACTTTTAATCTCATAAAAGTTTGTGAAATGCAAACCTGTAAAGCCAATTCTGGTTTTGGACTGTATTTTCTCACCAATTCAGCATTGCCATTTAGAGAAAACCAAACCAAACCAAACCAAACCAAACCAACCGAGCTGGGGGACCGCGGAGCGATGTGACTATCATGGCAGAACAATACAAAGTCCCTGTCATGATCATGAGGGCTGCCAACATCTGCCCTTCACACAGGCGGCCTCTGCTGAGCTACACCGCGAGGCCAGATACATCCAGTGTAACCAATTCCTTCCCATCTCTTCCCCTAAGCTCATGTGAGATCTAGCCAGGAAGACAGCAAGATACCACGACTAGACTCACATTGCACATACACACCCTCTACACCCTGCTTACACTGTTCCACAGGCCGTTCACCACCGTTTTCTGGTTATTCCCTTGAAACCTGCCAGGAGGGGGGCTGCATTCCTGCAAACCCACCTTCAGTCCCCTCTCCTCCCTCCTGGACACACTTAAATGAGCAGAGACTGAGAGATGTGTCCTATGCTGCGAAGACCCCAGGCTCTGGGTGAGGCAGAGGGGAAGACAGAATGCATGGGACGTCGGTGGGACACAGACGCTGCCTATTGGAGACGGGGACCCAGAAAGTGGGCAAAGCCCAGGTCCCTGGCTGCCACCTTACATGAGCAAGAAATAAACAGACACCTGTTGCGTCTGAGCCAGCACATGCATTTGGGTTTGAGTGTTACAGCAGCTTACAGTGTGTTACACCAGCTTACAGTGTGTTACACCAGATTACAGTGTGTTATATAGACTCATCGATGTAAAAAAGTCAGTAAGAACTAATTACTCATCAATGTAAACATGAGAAGCTACCAGAGCCCACGCCTGTCTTCAGTCTCCTTGATACCTAGTGCTCATGGCATTCTGGCCACTTAACTGAAAGTAAATATTTGAAAGGAAATTCAGCGCACTTCCCTCACTTAAAGCCTATGCTTAGTTTCCACTGGACGGAATACAGGAAGCAGTGGGCCGCAGCATGGGGTGGTTAACAGCCTGCTCTCTGAAACGAGACGGCCCAGGTTCGTGATGAAGCCTGGGAGAATCCCTAGAATAGCGGGGGGGCGGGGCAGGGAACCGTCGTTGCCCACGAAACAGCAGCATCTGACTCCAAGTCCTGCAAACCCATGGGGTGCAGGGGAGGGGTGCTCCCCAGGCCTGCCAGGCACGTGCGGCACACACCAGCTGGCAGCTCCCCGTTTGGACGTGAAGAATGATGAACACGCGCCCAGGCGAGGGCGCTCGTCATTTGATGTCTGCTCTCATCTCCGGCCAGAAACAATAGAGGCAAGAATGGGGTCACTGAGCCTGACTCTGGTATCTGGATGGCGCTTGGAAGGATGCTAAGCTGAGGTTTTAATAACTGAATTCCAATGGAACCAGCCCTGCACTCTTGGAAGTAGGGGAGCTGGTCCCGTACCCAACTCACCCAAACACGCCTCAGCAAGAAGCGAACTTCCCTTTACCCTCCAGCTCCGCCAGGTTCATTTTCACTCTGCCAAGTCTATGTAACGAGTGCCAGGGCTCTGTCTGGCTCTCTCCTTCCCTTCAGGGCCAACTCCAGCAGCCTCTCCGAGGCCCAGGTGGGTCAGACCAACCCTGAGACTTCGGCAAAGCAGATGTTTCATAGGCAACTTCTCCAACCTCAAAGGCACAGCCCTCGGAAGTCTGTCATGTGGCCTCACAGGGCCAGTTCGGGAGGCCACAGAAAGGATTTAAGAACGTGAAATGAAAGTGCTGAGGTTTCATCCTATTTGCACACGGAACCATGAGACAGGGTGCCCAGGTTAAGAACTTCCTGGAAGGAGGGGCTCCATTTGAGCTACAGAGACCAAAGGGCAGCCTCTCCAGTCTCCAGGGAGAAATCGGATGCTAATAGAAGCCAGTTCAGAACTGGCTGTCACTGCTGTCATTAGGAATGGCTCGATGAACACCACATTCCTCCTGGGGGAGTTCTCAGCTGTTACCGCAGGCCGCTGGAAACATTTCGAATAATTCCCAGAGCTTCAACCCAGCTCCCAAGTGGGGTGGGCGCACATTTTTCTCACACGTAGCCACTCACACTTTCGTTCTCTAAATTATTTCCTTCTTCTTCTTCTTTTTTTTTTTTTTGCTTTGTAATCGATAAGGTATTTTGCCATTTATAATGTGCAGTTCTTGCCCAAATTTTTGAGGGAAAAATAAAGATGCTTATTATACATGGGAATCACCACTGAAACGTGGGTGCGCATTATACATGGGAGCGCATGATATACGGTAAAATACAGTATATTAAGGAGACGTTCATACATTTAAATTACACTTTATTCTTATTGTAAATTTTTTTATTTATTGACTTGAGAGAGAGAAAGAGAGGCAAGGAAAGAGACAGAGAGAGAAACATAGATTTGTTCTTCCACCTATTTAAGCACTACTGGTTGATTCTGGTATCAAGGCCCCGGATGGAACGCGCAACCCTGGCGCGTCAGGGCCGATGCTCTTATCAACCGAGCCGTCCCGACCAGCGCATAAATTACTCTTTATTCTTAACCTGATTTTTTTTCTTCAAGGGACATCCTGAAAACTCAGTCTTGAATTAAAGTAAAAATGCACACAATGTTTTAAATGACGTCTTTAAATATTCTATCTACCGGGCAGAAAGGAACCAGGAAGCTTTCCTGTCTCGGATTTATAACGACGGCAGTAACCAAAACGCCCAAATTCACCTCACCAGCTCAGTTATATTCCTTAATTTAGAAGTGACCCTAATTTACCTCCCTGCCACATACAAACACCCCTCTTCGGCGCAGCAGAAGGATCATCAACGACCCAGATCGCTTCCGGGACAGCTCTTTACAAACCACAAAACCTGTGCTAGTCTCAGGAAAGGCCTCAAATCAAGTTCTTACAAGAAACCAGGTTATTTATGGTTTAAATAGTCCCAGCGTCCGCGGAACACCTCCTCGAAGGCACAAACAGCTGGCCTGTGCCGGGCCCTCCCCCAACCTGAACAGCTCGAAATTTGGAGAGATCGGGAACGCCTGGCCCCGCCGACCCCTGCAGCAGTCAAGGTCCCCCGCACCAGGTGCGGGGGCGGGGAACCAGGAACCTCCGCGGCGGCCGTTCGCTATCACTTTTTGTTAGTGTTGCTGAACTTCAGGGGAGCGAGAGTGGAGCGCGCGGAGAGGGGAAAAGGTGAACTTCCCTTGGGTTGTCCCAAAGCCAAAACCCTATTTCCTTGAACCTCTCCTTGCTCTGGTAGAGGAGGTGGGGGTGAGAGGGACGGGGAGTGGGGAAAGTTCCCTCCCCACTCCCTGCCTCCCCAGGCGCCCCCCAATAATCCAGCTAAAGCCCCTGCGGGCGCGGCGCGCGACCGCGGCAGGTATCGGGCTCGGCTTCCACGCGCTCTTCTTTCCTTCCCGATCCGCGCCGGGCTCTTGCCCTAGACTGCGGGGCTCCCGGCTCGGGGCCACTCCCACGTGCCGCCGCGACCTGCGCCCAGGGCGAAGTCGCCTGAAATCCAGGAGGGCACGGCCACCGCGCCCGATGTGCCGCGCCCGTAAATCGGGCGGTCCGGGGGACCCTGCGCCGCCCGCGCACCACGACTGCTCGTCCCCGGACCCCAACTCTGTACCCGCTGTCCCCGCCGCCCTTCTTCCCCTCCTCGCCTGGAGCCCACTCGGCGGCCACCTCGGCCCCTCAGCGCCGCGCGCACCCGCAGCCCCGCACTCACCCGCTCCGACCGACAGGCGCGCGGCTCCCAGCAGCAGGATCCCCAGCAGTGGGAGTGTGGCCCCGCAGTTCAGGCCGGCCATGGCTCCGGGGGCCTCGGCCTCGGCGGGGAAAGCGACTGTGGCCCGTGGTTCGGAGCTGCGACCGCAGGCGCGGGCGCCGGAGCCTGGCAGCGGCAACGCTGCGCTCCGCCCTGCCCGGCTCTCTCACCTGCGCGCGGGCGGGCCGGCCGGGGGTTCCGCCCTGCGCCGCGGGAGCCCCAGCTGCCGGGACCTGTCCCGCCCCCTCTCCCCTCCTCCTCTTCCTGCTTCAGCACCCGCCTCTTCAGAGCCCAGGATACTGGAACTTGGCTTCACCTTCTGGGGTCTAGTCCTCTCAAGGTTGAGAGTGATGAGTTTCGTTTGTTTTTTGCTTTGTTTTCCTTTTTGGTCTAAAGCCTTGGTGGTCGCTCTTGGCGGACATTAGTCCGCCTTCCCTTCGCTGTTCAGCAGAGAGGCCACTGTGCCCCCTACTTCCCACGGGAGTATTTACGGATCCCCCAAGCCCCGACTTCCTCCTCCGTGCTCTGTCCTGGGCCACCGGACTGGGGCGGAGCGCACTGGACTCGAAAGCCGGCGCCTCAGCTGCGAGCCTGCCCCCTACTCCCCGCACTTCACCTGCAGTGTTTCTAACGCTCACAGCGACCCGTCGGCATTGCACATGAGTCAGACTCGCAGAGTTACGCAACCTCGCGAAGTCTCTGGGCCAGTGAGTAATTTAGAGGCAGGTGGTGACCGCACAGGATGGGTTTTCCACAAACGAAGTCACTTTGTTACATTTTTGAAGAAGGATTGAGTAACTGAATGAATGAATGCAGGAGGCCGGAAACGGCCAAGAGTTAGAAACCTTAACGGGTCCGCAAGGGCCCCTCTCCTGCGTCGTGAGTGGGGTGGTACCTGCTGGCCGCGTGGGCGGCATTCAGGCCAACTGTCGGGCTGTAAAAACGAACGGCGCTGGGCTCCGTTCCCTCCTTCCAGCTGCCCATGTGCCTTCGCTTCTGGCTCCTGTGGCTTCTCCTTCTATTCTGTAGGCCACGCACCAAGTTCAGGATCAGGCCACAGGGAGGGACCGTGGATGGTGCAGGGGTGTCCAACCTGCCACCTGCATGCAGCCCCTCGTGGCTGTGAATGTGGCCCAACACAAAATTGTAAATTTATGTAAAAGATTATGAGGGGTTTTTTTGTGACTATGTGTCACAATGTGTTTTGTGTGGCCCAAGACAACTCTTCTTCCAGTGTGGCCCAGAGACACCAAAAGGTTGGACACCCCAGGTATGCACTCTCAACTGGCAGACCAGGGTTTTTTCTGAAATGACTGGATACCCACCCCCCAGGGCCGACCTGTGTCAGGGGAGGGGGCCGCACAACCTGGGAGGGCTGGGACAAGAGCAATAGTGTGTGCAGAGCACCAGCCTACAGTCCAGCCTCAACTTCTGTGTCATTCTAAGGGAAACTGAACCTTTTCAGGCTGTTCCTACTCTCATTGCGAACAGGGCGAGAAATGATCTCCTAAGAGATTCTCCCCCTACCTTCTCTGTCTTCAGCGATGAGAATTAAGCAAACCCTGGGCACAGGGAGCACGTAGTCCATGGAGGCAGTGATGTCCACACTTGGGGACATAACCCAACCTGGGCTCTACCTGTGGAAGGGCCTGGACTGAGCAGGAGGGGATCTCAACGTGTATCTTCTAGTCCACGTTCCCCATCAGGCAGAGAAACAGGGAAACTGAGTCCTAGAGAGAAGGTGAAGGGTGAAGGAAGGAGGGACGCTCTTGGTTCTCCCCACGGAATTAAGGGCAAGTTCATCAAGAAAAAGAAATCTAATGCTCTTTTAAAACCTTGGTGCTGACCGGAAGAGTAAAAGCAAACTTTGTCTGTGTTTCTCATTCTAAGCAGCCATCTCTACCCCAGCCTCTTTTCCTAGCACCCAGAATGCCATTTTTTTCTCAACAGCAACAACAATAATAATGAGTAGCAGTATGTTGAACTGAAAATATCAAGACTTGCTTAACAAGTCTCAACTTAAGGAACAAGTTATTTCATTTCTCCAAAGTTTGCTTAACTGTCCTCCCTGAGACAGTGAAACTAACTTTCTGTAAATACCATGAGAGTCAATCATTTTCCGATATGAGGGATTAGCGATGCAGACAACGGCAGCAAAGAGAGTTGAGAAAGTAGAGGGGCATCTGAGTAATTCCCCATGTTTAGAAATATTCAAATATGCGGGCACTGAAATGTCGGCGTATGCTCATCGCAGCATGTTTAATAATGTTTTAAAAAACCCTAAATGTGTCACATTAGAGAGTGCTGCAATAAATTCTGAGAGCAACAACAAAAAAAAAGGAAAGGAGGCCACATCTCAGCATCCTTCACATGACAACCCAACTATGTAGTTGAAGTCAGGATATCTTGCGGGAATGTCTTGGTCGATGGAGTGGAGTGTGAGCAAAGATTGCCAGGGTATGGAAGTGTTTTGTCTTTACAAATATGGCCGAATGGAAGGAGCCCATTTTAAGGCTATTTCTGAACTGGAAGAAAAATTCAGGCAGGTTTAGTCTGTTGTCAGAGAAAAATGAGATTGAAGGGTGAGTTTTAAAACAGACAATCCCATCTAATACCCCTCCAGCAACCCTACAGAGCTACAAAACAGTGATTTTTTTTTTTTAAGTCATAAGCCCACAGATATGGGGAGAACAGAGAAAAGACAATAGCAAAATCCTCAGGAAGCTGGAAAGCAGATGGACAAGTGGTCATAGCCTTAGGAACACAGAGACAGCAGAATCCTAAACCACAAGGTGGGAAGACTGAGAAATAGCATGATTTATACAATGGAATTCTTTAAAAACAGGATAACTCAGGAACAAGTAGCACAAGGTATTCTGGGACAAGAGGGGCTAAAACAAGGAAGCCTGGGAGGAAGCTGTTTTACAAATTCAATAGTAAGATCCCTGGAAACTGCCTTTTGTTCCTCCTGGCTGGGCAACTGTCCTGCTTCACTGCAGCAGAAATCAGAAGTGCTGTTTTCTGGACAGGTTAAAACTAAGGGATCTGGTCCTGACTAGAATGGCTCAGTTGGTTGGGCATCATTCTGAAAAGCAAAGCACTGCTGGCTCAATTCCCGGTCAGGGCACATGCCTGAGTTGTTGGGTTCTGTCCCCAGTCGGGGTGTGTATGCGAGAGGCAACTGTGTGTGTGTGTGTGTGTGTGTGTGTGTGTGTGATGTTTCTCTCCCTCTCGCTCCCCTCTTCCCCTCTGTCTAAAAATAAATAAATAAAATGAATATTCAATGAACCACTAAAGAGTTCTTGGAAATTTTTAAAAGTGGTAGTAGACATTAAAAGAAAAAGAAGGATTAGAATGTCTCCCAGATAATGAAGCAAAAAGACAAGGAGTTGAGAGAGGGAAAAGTTAAGGAAATTGAGGGTTCTGTTCAGGAGATTCAACCTCTGAATAATGGGCTTCCTAGAAAAACAGAGTAGATGAAACAGAAGACATCTTTGATGATATAATTCAAAATATTGCCCAGGCCTAAATGACATGAGTTTTCAGGTTTAAAGACTCATGGAATGTTGGCACACTGGTGAACATTAGCTCACATCAGGGCACATCATGGTGAAATTTCAGAGACCTATGAGCAAAGAGAAGTTTCTATAGCTTCCAGAGGCAAGAAATTGGTTTCATGCAAAGGAACAAAAACCAAAATGGCTTCACAATCCTCAGCAGCAAAGCCTTTGAAATTCTGAAGGAAAATAACTTCCAACTTAGAATTTTATACCCAGCCGATCTACCAAGTAAGAGAAAAGGTTAAAAAGGGGGCACTATTAGACTACCAACATCTAAAACAAAAAACAAAAACACCTCAAACAACAAACTCACACACCTTCTCTCAGGAAAAAATTGGAGGATGTGTTCCATTAAAACAAGAAATGCGTGAAACACAGAAAGGTGTAGATACAGGTCTGTGGGTCTGAACTTAATCACCTGAGAAAAAGAATGCAGAGTTACAAATAGAAGACCAGGTGTGAAAAATGATTATTTATTTAGAACGAGGAAAGAAATCACAACAAACTACAAATTTGAAAGAAAAAAAAAGAAAAGAAAATTATCACAAATGTCACAAAGTCCAGAAAAAATAAAAATATCTTTACTATTAACTCACTGGTACAGCTCTATAGTATTCATTTCTTCAGGTCATTTAGCCTCATTGATGCAGGTCTGATGCAGTTTCTTCTGGAACTGCCAGACTTCACCATGAGAAGATGTATCAGATAAGCTAAGATGCAACCTTGATTTACTTGGACACACAAAACGTGAATTCACACAGAGAAATTCTCATTGTTCACAGAAAGAGAGTAGTGTTGTGTGTGCTCTGCTAATGTAGAAATTCTTACAAACTCTATGTGTGATTCCTACTTTATGTAAAGAACAAAATAGTATTGTACATTTGTAATTTTACAAGCTGCATTATCCATTTATTTCTAACAACAACAACAAAAAACCCTTCCTGTTCGACAAGGCTTATGCATTATAAGCTTTTATAGAACACTGAATGTTCTGCTTAAATTGTCGGTTTTCACAGTAGGAAGAATTTTCCATAGACCAGCTCCCGGCGATGCCCACGTCAGAGTTGACTCCTCCTCCCCTGCTGTCCACATGCTGCTGGAGTTGGGCACTGCACAGCAGGCTCGTAATGTGACACCACATCTGGTCTTCCTCCTTTTGGTCACCTCACCAGTGAGTCAGCCCAGTGGTGGGGAGGAGTATTCCTGGAAGCCTCTACTACACATCAGGGCAAGCAATGGCTTAACTGCACATGAAAGCAACTGCAGATTTCATATATATATCCCACTGCACCCAAAGGTAGAGGTATCTCCAATTCCACTTCCCCAGCCCCATCCCAAAATGCCTACAGCAACTCTGTGCTGCATTGTGTAAGGGAGTGTGTTGGAGGGGCAGTGGGGGAAGGGGAGGAATTTATTTGCAGTTGAAATACATGCCTTTGCAGATTTGACAAGAAACACTGACCAGGTGAGCAGATGCCTTTGG